CCACATAAAATTTCTACCGACGATTTCGCAGATGTTTGCAACATTATTAAAAGTGAAAATGTTGCGTTAATAAATAATAGGATCAGCACCAGCAGGTAAATGTGGTTTAATTATTTCCATTTTCTTGAGCGTACGACTTGTTAAATAAAGTAAGTGAACGGTAGAAGATTATCGGTAATAAAAATAGTAAAATACTTTTGTTCGATGGACTTATGTGTGTTAATTGGCGAAAGAGAGTGCAAAAACACAACGGGTTTGCTTGAAAGTGATCCACTTAAATTTACCGCAAACGTGCGTTAGAAAATTGATGTTTATTATCAACATTTCCCGAACAACGAAAATCTGAAAAGCCTTCCTAATATTGCTGGGAAGTGGAGACAACGAAAATCATTTTCAAGGAAATTAGATACCTATAATAATGTAGGTCGAAGCGTTTCTTTTAGTCAGGAAAAATGCGACATAATGGTTAAACTTTGTGAAATCTTGGGTCGTTATCCTGCGATTTCTTCGTATATGCTCAAAACAATAAACATTATTGTGAATCCGAGAATGCGCTAATTGCTGAATGTGAATACAAAACAACGCTTTTTAGACCTTTTGAATTATTCATTAAAACGCACGTTAAAACAAAAACCGCTTAATTGCAATATTAGTCAGTACAGGATATTTTAGGAAGTGTTGGTTTTGCTGATTAACCCAAAATAAAAATAACACATTTTGTGCGTAACAAGTAACAAGAGAATTGTGAGAGATTGGTTTTATTCTGGATTTGGTTGTTCGAGATATTCAAATTCTTTTGCAAATAAACAAAAGAATTTCTAATTTTAACCTCTTCTTATTTATTTGATTATTTCTTGAAGATTTAAAAGAATTACGTAGGTAGTACTTTGGTAAATTTTTAGAGTATAATTTCAAAAACGGGCATTCCGGCGACTTAAGTGGATTATAATCGTTCCTCACGTAGGCCCTTTGTTGTACAAATCAAAAAAAAATCCGACATAATAATTGTGAGAACTTCCAATCTAAACAACTACAATGGGCAAAAGGAATTATATGGGCGCGCAGGGCCGGCTCGAGCGCAATGCGTCCAGTAGCCAACGGCGATTCCCTTACATAATCCATATCTTCTTGATTAATGGACAATAAACTCCGCTCGAAAATAGAAAGATCAAGGCGATTAATGAAATTCTGTAGGCACAGTCCGCGCCTGGCAATCGTAAATTACAGGCAAGTGTTTTTCTCACAGACAAAAAGGCATGTATACGATCATGTTGGGCAGGATATGTAACGCTTCGAATGAGTGCCCACGAGGGAGCAGGAGCGATTCCGACACGGCGGAAATTCTTATTCTTAGAAAGGCCTTCGAGCCAATATAAGGTCGCAATCAGCGTTGCCAACTATCACCAGAAATCCCTTGTTTGCCATGCATAATCTGCGAGTTTTTGCGCTAATCGTCCGGACTACCGACCAGATCTGCATGTATAGCGTGTGTTAGATGTCGTCTAGACCTCACTTAGTCAATAATATAAATTAAATCGTAATTTACGACGACTTAAAAACGAGCCGAACAAGAAAGGGGAGACGCGCTAAGAAGGAAATAACGCGAGGAATTGAACGTGGAAGCTCGCAGGGCCCGCCGGCTTAAATTTTTCAACCGGGGAAAAACACGCTCCTCGTATATCACAGTCGAACTAAATTAAATGTGTAGTCTTATGGGCGTCGGAGTGGAAGCGCAGCATTTTTGTTTAACATCATCACTTTACTCCATGGAACGAATGCAGTACCTGCCGATTATAAAGGGCGTTTCGTAGGTAAAGGGCAATGTGTTAAAGAGGATATATTTAAGAAGGGTCTGTTGCCTATTTTTAACTTTGTTGGTTTAATTAGGTATATTATAAAGCTTATAATTTCTGGATCACTCTTCATATTCTTCGTATGTTTTTTGGTGAAACAGAAAATCTACCAGGAATATTTAAAATAAAATAATTATTTTAATTTTGTGGGTAATGTGAACCCAAAAATTGCAACTGAAACCTCAATAACTCATTTCGGGTCGCGCCCAAAACGTCAGACAATCCTAGGGGTATCGCCCTTTCCGTACTCTTCCGGGGTCACCAGGTTAATGGTTTGGTTATGTGGAACGTGGAGGCGTCGGAAAATCGGGAAATCTCTCGTTTGGCCGCCAGCGGCGCGCGAATTTTCCTCCAACGATTCAGAACTTTCCCGATCTCCTCGAGCTAATCGATGGCCAAATCAAATTAAATGCCTCCTTTACTAACATTGTGTACATTAGAGTGTCTATTCTCTATCTATTACCAAATTGAAAGGATTACATTATTATGTTCTTCAAACCCTTCGGATAAGCTCCTGTATTCCCAGCGATACTATTACATAAAGTTATAGATTTCTGTCTTTCTGTGGTATTCCATTTCGTTTTTTACACTGTCGTGTCCGAAAGGGAGTTCATTACGAGGTTCATTCGCCCCGAAATGCGGCTATAAAATAAATTTAACATACATAAGGGTGTTCCCCATTTAACTGCCATAGAATAATAAGGAAGAGAAAATTAATTTGTTTAAATAGACTCCACAGGTGTTGGCTATAAAACCCTCTAAAGGGATGGTGCAAAATTATTATACAGTATGTCTCAAATATACTGTGACATATGGTATACTATACGAACTTATATTTTCAAAATATACCTTTCATAACAATGGCTTCTTTTATTAGATTCAATCATCCATTCATTACGATTATATACGCTAGTTTGATACTACTCTTTCGAGATTATCGCTGGTATGCTTTTGTACTTTGATTTGTCTATTAAGGATCTCCTTTTCGCTTGAACAATTTACTTAAATATTATCGCAATAAAGTGCAAAGTGCGAAAGGTTATCGTTTGAGTTGAATTGAATTGATGAGTAGGTATTCTTCGTGTTAGCAATCGTCCTTATCAAGAGTTATGAGATCGTGGAGGAAGAAGATTTTCGTTGTCGAATTTTATATACCTACTATATGTATATTTTTAAATATTTCAGGAAATTGTTAATTGCGTTAACAGCAGGAAATGCGGCGTAACAATTAGGTAAATTAGATGCGTTACAGGATGTAAGTGGGTTTGCTGATGGAGTTCAGTAAAGGGTAGATTATATTTCGAATTCGTTTTAAATTATTCTGCTGGAAGTGATAGAGTAGATTGAGCATAAAGGAAAGCGGTTTCAACTCGAATGATTTATCTGCGAAATTTCCTGTGTAATATATTTTTATGCACACGCTATTTTTGGTATATTTCTGCATTCCTGCTAAATATAACTGAATGACAAGCCAGCTCGTTACAAATGACTGCGAATATCATTTATGTAGTGAAACCCACGTGATGTCTGCATTACTGGAGATGTACCAATGCATTTGCATAAGTGATATTTAATGATGGGCTAGCAAAAAACTCGGTCACCTATACAATTTTCTTGTAATTAAATCTTGAATAACTTGTAATTTTTCATTGAAATTAATTACTGCTGCGTATATTTAATATTGATAAGAGGAGTTGTGCAAATTGAATACATAAATAATATACCTAAGTAAAAAATGTATCAATTTTATTTTTTCATTTGATCTATTTCACAATTATTATAACTAACAAAATGTGAGTTTACGAATAATCAGTCTAAAAGAAAATAATGTACATATTAGTGTAAAAATCAAATTAATATTAATTTAAATATTAGCAGAATTTGATTTAAAAAAAATACATAACAGCCATCTAAGAATTTATGAAAAGACTTCACATATTATTGCGATAAAAAACTGTAATAATTTTGTAGCATCTAAGCTTTTTAAACGCAACTAAGACTAACTACAGAGTAGAAAACTGTAATAAAATTTTACAGAAAACTATAATTTAATCATTTTTTACTGCCATCTTTATGTTTTGTAAACTACTATTCTTAATTTAAATACTAGAAAACGGTATTATTTTAATCCCTTATCATTTTTTTTAAATTTGAACTCTATAAATTAATTATTTTAGTGTCAAATTATTACCTAGATTATAATTGTTAGTAAAGTCAAAATAAACTGCATTATCTAATATCAGAATTTTTATTTTCTTTCTCTATTAAATTATATTAAATTTCTGATTTAATTAACCTGATATAATTAATTATCTGTAGGTAAGAATATGAGTGATTCAAATTAAATAAATTTATATTTACAAGTATTTATTGTATTATTTATTATTTCAATAAATAATTGTTGTATAATATTGACAAAAAAGTTATCTTAAAATAAAAATAATTAAATTTAAAATAATAATAAAAAATAATTTTTATGAGTTTCAAAAGATGTATTTTCCTTCGATAGATAATTAGGATAAATAATTAATCTTTGCTTAGATGAGTAAATTTGTTTTCAAAACATGCTTTTCTTGGGAGATAGGATTTTCCTCGAGACGCATTATGAACGAGCGGCCATTAACGAAACATGATCAAAAAGTAATTAAATTAGTTTAAATAACGCTATCAGAAATTCCAGTCGATTTCATTTTGCTGTTAACGATTTTTGAACTGGTTTGTCGACCGATAACTGTTAATGAACGAGGCATTAAATAAAAATTACCCAAATCGAAAAATAGGCGTTTCACATTTTATTGATGGTGAAATGAAAGGTAAAATGTGGACGAAATATTCTATATATGAAATTTCTTATGAAAGGCATTATTTTACTATAAGGAATATAATTAAGGGGTCGTTTTTAGGTGAATTAATTTCTTAATAAATACAATTGTTGCATTTTCATTAGAGTATAAACAGTTTCTTCCTTGAAGTATTTCTATTTCAATACGCGCCTTCTAACGAATTAAATACCAATTAAAATACGCTTACGTTGGTTAATGTTAGCAATGAAAATGATAATTGATAATTTATCGTCCGCGTATACAATACAACGCTAACCACAGTTCCACCAGGTAATTCTCTAGTCCCCATTTTCCTTCCGTAAAACAGGTAGCTGCTTAAAATTCGGTTTACAAAGAAAATTCCTCCATAAAGTTCAGTGGTATGTTCGAGATGACATCGCCGGTAAGTTCATATAGTATATTATTTTCGCGATGCAATATCTAACCGGATCAAAAGGGAGATTTTAATCAAACTCTTCGCCGACGAAATGCGCGAATTAAACCGGCGAATACTCAGAATTACTCTGGTACATCGTTTCGTTTCAGGTGCTACTGTTGCTAGCTGTTTTCGCCGTATTCTCGTCGGCGCAAAAAGACTTTTATGATGATTTTTACGATCGGAATTATCCGGAAGACGAGTACGGTTACTACCCGCCGCCGTATTGGAGGCAATCCGGGTTGTATTATCCCTATCAGCGCTATCCAAGCGGAGATTGCGATCGTCACCAATCCCTTTACCCGGTCAATAATTATCTGTACCATCAATACAACGTTCACGAGCCCAACGCCGAACTCGCCATTTACTCCAAAAAGTACCTGGAATACCTCCAGAAACATCCCCGTTTCGAGGGTGGCGTGAGGTACGTGTTGGGATTGAACGGGGAGCAAATCTTCGGCGACGACTGGAACGACTGGGAGGATATCTACTCATCGGATTACTTGGAGAGATTGGAACGTTTGTACGGGAAGAAATTCTACAAGAGCCTGAAATTCGGGAGTTACCCCCAAAGTGGTTTGTTTGGAGTCGGTAGTGGACTAATGGGGGGAGGTCTATTCGCCAACGGTTTGTTTAGAAATGGCCTATTCGGGAATGGTATTATTGGAAATGGTCTATTTGGGAATGGCTTAATTGGTAACGGTCTAATTGGAAATGGTGCCTACGGAGATTACCATAGACACGGAAGACACGGAAGACACGGAAGACACGGATTGTGGGGGAGATTTCACGGGCCTATACCTCTAAATCCACTCTTTGGAGGTGCTGGCAGTCACTTTGGTAACATCATCGGCCGTTTACAAAATTTCCGGTTACCCCTCTTCCAATATTCCTACGCAGGTTATCCTTATTATCAAAATTACGGTTACAATTATAGACCGATTTTCCCATTCTTATTCGGCAGACCCGGCCAATCTAATCATCACATTTTGGGCCACATTTTCGGCAACCGGTTTGAAAGCGACGAAACGAACAAGGAGAGCACAGGTCCCATGACCTTCGATAGGCGATTTGAAGCTGTAGACGAAAAAGAAACAGAAAAAGAAGCAGAAAAAGAAAAGCATGAGGAAAAGGAAAAGGAGAAAGAAGTTGAGAAGATTGAAGAGGCTGTTGCAGTAGCTGAAGCAATTACGCACGATGCTCCTTTACCGCCCATTGCAGATGTCAAATCTACGCTCGAAAACCGTAAGTAAACCCTACTCAAAAATCCATAGTCAAGTTTCGGTTACAAAAATGACATGTAAAGCGAATTATTATTGTAAAAAATTAAAGACTTGCGATATACTTGTGTTCTATTCAAGTTTTCAATTATTCCTCATTGGATTTGATCCAATTCTTTACCAAATATCACCTAGATGCAAGGAAATGTTTTCCGGTTTGGAAAACGCATTTTCCTCGTAGTAACGCTTGCGTGCAACCAGAACCACTCTCGAGTGCGTTTGTAACAAAAATACAAGTGAAAAAGTGAACTGAAAACGGTATGTCTCAGAGAGCTTAAAAGCCTACTCAATCAGTGAACAAATTTTAAACTATTTCAACTCCATTTCCAGGTGAAGAAATTATCGAGACAAATATAGTGAAACAGAATGCTCGCACTCGCAAGATACCCGCAAATCAAAACCACCAAGCTAACCATGACAAAGTGAACCAAGCTAACCTCACAAAAAACCGTAAGGTAGTACTTCACAGAAATCAAAAGAATCAATTGCAAGGTCACGGAAAACAACAAGGCCATACGCAAGGCCATGGTAAACCACAAGGCCATACGCAAGGTCATGGTAAACAACAAGGCCATACGCAAGTTCATGGTAAACAACAAGGCCATATGCAAGGTAGTGGAAAACAACAAGGCCATACGCAAGGTCATGGTAAACAACAAGGCCATACGCAAGGTCATGGTAAACAACAAATCCACATGCAAAGTCATGGTAAACAACAAATCCACATGCAAGGTCATGGCAATCAACATATGCAAGGCCATGGTAACCAAAAAATCCACTTGGAAGGTCACGGCAATGGACATTTGCAAGGCCATGGTAACCAAAAAATCCACTTGGAAGGTCACGGCAATGGACATATGCAAGGCCATGGTAACCAAAAAATCCACTTAGAAGGTCACGGCAATGGACGTATGCAAGGCAATGGTAACCAAAAAATCCACTTGGAAGGTCATGGCAACGGACATATGCAAGGCCATGGTTCCCAACAAATACACTTGCAAGGGCATGGACAAGGCAATCAAAAAATCCTCATAGAAGGCCTTGGCAATCAACAGAACCAAATGGGTAATGGCCAACAACAAATCATCATTCAGGGACAAGGGAACGGTGGAGGCTACCTTCAAGGGCAAGGGTTCGAATTGAACGGTCAAATGGTCGGCCAAGGCGGTGGTGGCGGTGAGTGGAAAGCGGGCTGGCAAGGCGGCCAGACCAAAGGGATCATCACCAAAACCGTGGCTACCGAAATCGATCCGAAATCTCTGACGTTTACCATCAACATTCCCAGCGTGCCGACTCCAACCATTTCTAAAACCATCGAAGTCGTCGAGACCGGGAAGGACGGATTGAGAACCATTTTACCCGAGACTAGCGTCGTGATGCAAGGTGGTGGTGGTAATGGAGGATTCGTCACGGGAGGCACAGTAATTGGCGAAAATGGTCTGATTGGAGGAGGAGGATCTGGAACTGTTTTCACTAACGGTGTTATTAACGGTGCAACAGGCTTTACTGGAACTGGCTTTACCGGGACTGGTTTTACTAATGGTGTTATTAACGGAGGAAACAACATGATGGGAGGACAATCTGGTAGTTACTCTTACGAAATTTCCAGTCCTACGTACACATGGGAATACACTTCTGGAACTCAAGGAGAGTCTAAAGTAATAGAGAATGGTAATATTATTTAAGTATTTTTACATTGTGATTTTTTATAAAAACATATTTGTAGGTAAAGAAATAGTTTTGGAAAATGGGAAAGTGCCATTCTTGAGCAACCTGGCGAGTCGATTCGGTGAAGGTGATGGAAACATTACGGAAAATATTAAAATAATTAGTGATGTTGCTCAAGAAACGAAAGAAACTAAAAAAACGAAAGAATCGCATACCAAGAATGATTCTTCAAAAGAAAAAGCTACAGGTAGGGTAACATATTTTTGGCGTTTTTTAAGATAGGTATCTCAGGACGAGTTTAAAATATGTACCTGTACAAGAAAAGCATTTAAAATATTATCTATTGAAATGATAAAAATTTGCTTTAATCAATGGTATAATCGAATTAAGTTTAATTGAATTTGCTTTCAATACATGGTGTTTCATTTTAAGCTTGTCTTGGGACACTTTATTTAATCTAAATTAACGTTAATACATTCATTTTTGCAGAAAATGAAGATAAATCCGACGAAAAAAAGCACAAGGAAACCGATGAAAAAACCTCGACCAAACGTTGACCACTCGACAACTTTAATTCTAATAAAAACAAACCAATATAAATTTTCTATATTCCTATATAGACTCACTGCAAACTTCCTTAGCGCATACACTCCAAAACGACCGCATATTTCCTTTATTAAATTTTCACTCTATTCGCTTAGTCAACCCAATGTAACTTCGCTATTAAAAATTAAAACTCCAATCTGGAAATTAAATGCCCGGTATGTATATAGGTAAACCATTTAAATCCGATTTTTGCTCACGGTTGTTAAACTTTTTCTTCAGTTTAACTATCCTTATCCCATTCCATCCCATTGTGTCTGTTCCGCTCGAACGCCCGCACAATTGAACTCGAGACAATGGTCTCTCGTCCCGAAAGTTGGGCACGTATAGTAGTTTCGCTCCCGAATCCGCATATCGCAAATTTAAAGTTCAATAGAAACTAAAAGCCGCGGATTTACATCTTGACTGAAATTTATGCCATTAAGTTCTGGGGGGACGTAAAATAAGAATTCTATTAGTTCCGGGATAAAAGGGAGGATTGCTTCGCTTCCTCCGAAGTGATCTCTCTGCTCTTCGGTGTATTTTTACCGACTGGATTCGTCGCGAATGGATTGTTTTTACAAACTTCGGAAAGCGTTTTAAACCGCTTTAAAGGAATCGGTCTAGTTTCTATTCGTTTGTGTTTAAACAATTTCATCATGCGAGTGCGTTTAAAAAGTCCATTCGGATCGGTATTTATAGCGATAAATCGCGGAAAAATGATGAAGAAGAGAGAGGAGTTTGTCGCCCTGGCAAATAAATTCGACGTGATTCGGCGATATATCATCGAAAAGAAAATACCCGGAAAAATTATATATAGCTCTTGACACATTGACGTGATTAATCGATGAGTGCTTTTACGGCTTTCTATCTCTTCGATCTTCCCGTTCCGGTACAGATGCTGCTTAACGTCGATCGATCATTGATTTGTCCCGCAATTAATAGGATATGCCCCCGAGGAGGCGTCGCGAGGCGACGCGTCGCTTCGAAAAGGATTTTATTTTCATTTGCGAATACACCGGGTTTTTCCTTAATTTTATTATCCACTTGACGCCAGGACCTTGATCGATTTTTCGGTTGGAGATTAAAGGAAGACAAAGGGAATTCTAAATGATTTTGGAAGTTTGTTACAGGGCTTTTGGGAAAAACTTTTCGAGTAGTTCTCAAGATTTTTATGTTATTGAAAGAATTTTTTTAGCAATTTTATATTTGATGTGCAGGTTTTTCTAATATTTTTTGGGAACTCTTATTACCCCCAATAATAAAAAAATATGAAATTCATTACATATTTAATATTAAGTAAAATTGCATTAGACATCCTAATGTTGTTTCCCTTTATATCAGTAAAATTTTCAATTTTCAAATCACTGATACTCTAACCGGCTCAATTGGTATTTAGGTATAGTATATTTGCATAATAAATATACCATACAATTAAAAACTACCCGTTTCGATATGTACGTAATGGTGTTCAGAAATACTGAAATATCCATCTAATATTACGAATTGTAACAAATTGTACAATCAATATTTGTGCCAGTTAGCAAAATTAAATTTTCCCCGTTGTTCGTACAAAACAAAAAATGAAAACTTTTCATTTCGTGAGGATTGATTTACAAAAAAAAACCTCTGTAATTGTACAGGGTGTTCCAGCTAATAGACTATTCTTGAAAGGAATAAAGCTTATATAGATTTATTTACAGTCTCTCCAATTTATCCCGAATAGATTCGTTTTATTCTTCCAATACAATCGAAAAATTTAGATACTCGACATCAGTCATCTCGGTCCTTTCAATACACACCGCGAAAATCCGAAAATCCTATTTATTTTATACGTGAGCTAAATGGGAAAACATTCGTTTTACGCTTTTTGGCGCTATAAAATAAAGAGTTACAATCCCGGTAGAGCTAACGCAAGAAATCCAAGAACGTGCTTCTAGCATGTTTATTGTTTCGCATTCGCGCTATGTTAACGTCGTCGTTTCAGTAAAACGAGAAAAGTGATTTTATATTGTGCGCCCGTACAAAGTCGTGTTTTCGTTAAATCCTTTAAATATTTTCGACTGCGAAAACTGCGATTCCGGCGTATCTAGGGACAAAGAATAGATGGTGATTCGCTTCGCTAATTGCGGTTTACCAACATAAATAATGCTCCAAATTTGTAAAGAACATTATAATAATTATAATTAAGGGAAGAAATTTTTTCTGGATTTTTTTTTGGTTCTTATAGGGTGTTTTTTTACAAGAATTTATAAGTTAACCTGGCGATTTTTTAGAACAATTCCCTACATTAATTGATTTTTCAGGCAATTTTTAGAAAATGTATTCTTTTCATATATTTATTTTTCAATATTTTTCAATAATTTTGACGATGATTTTATACGGGAGTAAGAAATAACGATGAACGACGCCCATTTATCGATAAAACTTCAAAATACATTTGATTAAATATCTCATTAGAGCGGATATTTTATTCAGTCGAATGCCATTTTTTTCGTATTATATTCATAAACTGGCGGTTTCGAAGGAGCATTCCGCACGAGTTGAATACATTTGCCATACGTTACGCAGATACAGTTATGCAGTGAAAAATATTTCCAATCTCGCTTAGACACCCACCGGCGGGTTTGTATATAAATTCCTTATTAAAAAGAAAAACTTTCCTCGCGCCCCGAGAGGCCTTCCTCCCGCATTTGAATTTTCTCGCCGTTTTTCGCGGATTTATTACTTTAATCAAATCGATGCGGAAATGTCCGTTAAGTCTGGCGAAATTAAAATTGGACTCTACTTACCCACTTACAGTATCCACTTGTGAATTTCTATTCACAAGGTTATATTGAGCTTATTTAGATACTTCAACAAATACATATACAAAAAAATTTAATACTTTTACGTGAGTTTCTTTTTCATATAATGAGTAGATACAGGAGTTGTAATTCACCATGTAAATATTGAAATAATTTGGATATACACGATCAAATATTTTTGGCTATATACCGGATTTCTTTTCGGAGAAATTTTCAATTTCAATTGAGCATAACGTCGCAATTATTTTTCCTTTAAACAGCTTCCTTGCGGATATATCTAACACAAAAACGCAATCGTTTTCGAAGTCTATCGATTTGGAAAATTACATTTCGCTCGGCGAATGCTACACGTGAAATTGCGTCGCAATTTTTCCGACTAACAATTTCGAATCAGCAACAACAGTTAATCATATTTGAGGCTCTTTTTGCGCAAAAAAAACAGGAAACCGAATCGAATGTTGGTTTAAAGCATTTTGTTTGTTTTAATGCCGGATTTATTGGAAGAATTAATTAAATTGTCTCTGTGCGTTGATCATTCGAGATTAATTATTGCATCTATAATGCGTTTCCGATCTCTTTACTTTGTGGTCGGTTTTTTTTTTAATTTCAATGAAAAAAATAGCAAAAGTTTTTTAAATATTTGTGAATACCACTACTATAGTTTAGCAATTTCCTATTATGCAATTCCTCTAGTAAAAAAAAACTCATAATCCTTTACACTCACCTATAGTATTATCCTTTAACAATAGAACCTCTTTAAATCCTTAACTCATCATAATTTCTTCGGCCGTCTTCGGCGAAAGTGCAAGAGCAGTTAAGGCGACGGCTCCCGCGAAATCTATTTTATTTATTTCTCCCGGCATTGTCACGGCCAGTGATCATCCATTTTGTTGCGATTGTTGTTCGGATTTTTTTTCCTACTTCTTTCGTTAACTTCACTTCCGGACGGAGCGCAAACGAAATATGACACTTTCAGAGGCAACGGGACAAAACGAAAAATATTTATTTATTTTCCTCTCGAGAAATTTAATAGTAAACTGCATTTAATGTAATATATTATATGTCGGGGAGTTTTGCGAGACTTTCGTCGTCGCCTCGCCGGGTTTCCATAAAATGGGAGAAAAATATTATATCCAGGAAACTTCGAAATAACTTTTTCTTCAATAGTTTGGTTTTCTTAGGGTAACTTTTCCCATTTGAACTTATTACCTGCTAATTTTTCTATAATCAAAAGGGTAATTCCACGGTGTCATAAAGTAAGTATAATTATGAGATATACAGGGTCTTTTTTTTAATAATGATGAAACGGCTCGTCCACGTTAAACAAAATAGAAAAATCTTAAACCATCTCTTGAAACTTACCAAAAAATACATTTATATATGAAGCGCTCCGCAAAGTACGTGTAAACTGGCATTAACTAAATATAAAAGCGTTTATAAATTCAAATAGAGTCGACGTAATATTAGGTAAGTCGAGTGAGTTAGGAGGAAACGAGGATAGTGTATATTCGGATGCATTCACATGAGCGAATTCACTTTAACCTCGACGAAATACTAATGAGCAGTCCTCGGTATATACCTATGACACATGTTTTCCGACGAAATATGAAAATCCTGCTAAAGTAGGAAACGTGCGAGCAGCGCAACTTTCGTTATAAACGAGCAGAATTCGAAGAAATTTATTTAAGGATGTGCCTGCAAAATATACCAATTGTGAAACGAGTGGAATTATTTATACTTATTTTATTCAGGCGATTAATGTGATAGTAAAAGTTGGTGGAGGAGCTCAGATGAATATTAACAATTTTCATACTTTTGGTGGAAAGGATAAATTGTTTCATTTAAAAATTAGGCGGAAGCATATTAATAGGATTCCATATGAAGATTACCAATATTTTTAAAAATCTGGCGGAAGCATTTTTTTTCGAAATTTTGGTGGATTTTTTTTGTACTCATCTAATTTTTGGTTCATGGCAAGGCAAATGATTCGAGCTTGAGTTAACATCGATCCATCTACTCCGTATAAAGTCACCCCTATAAATTTAATGATGATATGAAACATGAATAACTTTTAGAACGTAAGTAGATACATTCTGGAATACACAATGGCAGAAATATTGAAATTGTAACTGTCGCCTGTCCATTACACGCAGCACCCATCACGGCGGTTACCAAAGCAACTCCCTGGAGATTCCGAATTTTCACGAGATCTTTCCCAAGTCTCTCCATACATACACGGCTGAATCGTTATTCGTACGTGCTCATATACCCCCTTTTCGGAATTAATTTGCTTTATGTTGGAACGTTAATTGAAACGAAACGTGTCGTTCGATGGAAGCATACCATAACTAAATTTAAAATGCTGTATATAGATATTAAATTTAATCCCGTTTTTTATTTGCTTTTCGAGAGGAAGGTGAACAAAAATGTTGCACTGTAGGTATATTTACGACAATTTTATTGACAAATTCGAAAGGATATGTGTATAACTTTTATTATAGACCAAACAATCATAGTCTCAAAAATTTTCCTATGCCTATGTAATATCACAAATTTATGCTACACTAAAACATTCAACAAATAGGAATATTGCAACAATTATACAGTTTGATATTTACATTGTCTTTCGCACCGAAGCGGGAAGAAAGGAAGGTAAATTCACGAATCGAATTCTCCGCTATTGAAATTTTTCGGCGACAGTTTCTTCGACAGCAGATACTTCTTCAGTTCGTTTTCGAAATGTTTGAAATCCAGCGACTCCTCGAGGGGCTGGTTCGAATTGGGCGACAGCGCCAACGACGATGGCTTGTTGAACACCACCGACGTCGACGGCGTGAAGGGCAGTTGCTTCTCCTTTTCCTTGAGCAAACAAAACATCTCGAGGATCAGCTATCATAAGAAACCGGTCTAAACATTATCTTACCTTCTCCTGGCAGAGATTGTCGCAGGTCTCCTTCATCTTGGTCAGCTGCTTCTGCAGATTCCTGTACTCCTCCAGGAACCTCTCCAATTGGGCGGCGTGGTAATCGTACGAATTCGCGTTGGGCGTCGTGCTCGTCGTAGGTGATATCCTCTCTGAAGCGCCCCTTTTGCTATACCACACTCGATTCTCTAAATTGGAGACGTCCAACAGCGGCGTCGCCGACATATCGTTGTTCATCGACTGGAAATAATTCAAACGAAAAGCGCCATATTAAACAGAAATTCCCATAATAGACATTCGTGCAGTGTAGAGAAGAATTGACGACCATAAGGGGTAAGTAGGAGTTGAACAATTTGAGTATACTTGTAGCAAAATCGACGAAACCAGGCAATATTTTTAAAATCCCGTGAAACCGACTAGAAATCCAATATGGCCTTTCCGGTTTATCTGGCGCCCGTTTGCGATGAAACAAACGGCTCGGGACCTAATGTACTCGTAACGTCGTTACGACGACCTCTTGTCTCTCGAATATGCCTTCTTTCCCGCTTTCCCGTGCTTACCTAATTTCCAGAAGCACTTACGCTTCCATTAGAGCCCCCCGAATGGCGGCGTTTTAAGTACGTAACGGTAACGGAAGCTCGAGGGCGGAATGATAGCGAGAACATCTGGATTTTTGCGCCGAGTTTACCGAAACACAAAAAATAAATACGTATAGCACGTAAACGGGCGAGTTTACGCATGCGAGAAAGCAAACGGTCTGAAATTCGAACGGCGCCCATATAAATTCTCTTACCTCTTTCGCTTGATGACCTTCTTCGCGGGTCAGATTTAAGTAACTGCTGGATATCTTGTTTACCCTGTTTCTGTTTAAACTCGTCGTGAGGGGATACTTGGGAGAATCGGACATTCGTCGGCTTTGGCCGCTAAGGATGCTTTCTCCACCGCTGCTGCCTGCAACAATAAAATTGGGTATTCCCAGGGGCGTTTGTGAGATGTTTGCGATACGTTTTACGGGCAGTTGCGCCTCGTATAGACGACGTGTACCTACATTGGCCAAACGAACGCTCTGTCTAGTTGGAGTGATTTTTCTCAATTTTAACTTGTTAGAATTTAAATTTACACTTTTGTGCATTTAATAATACCTAGTGTAGTTAGAACACAATGAGATATGAAAAATAGGAATAGTTATATGAATGTTATATGGAAAGTTAGAATGTGTGAACCATAAGAAATGAATAAATGAATTTTCTCATCAGTTAATATTAGTACATTTTCATACCCTGAAACAGGTCAATGTTTGTGGATTGAATTTAGTAACTTTTTTTACCACTAACTGCCACACCCTCTGTATGAGACTTACCACCCGTAAATTTTCAAATTTGAAGGGTAGGTTTGAGATACCTCATTTGAAAGGCAATTTCAATCTCCATTCGGAAGGGCCATTTATTATTTATTCTGTTGCCCTACCCTTCTAATTTGAAAATTTAGGGTTGGTAAGTCTTTTACTGAGGGGGTTGCAGTTAGGGGTAAAGATTTGAAGATGACCTGTTCCAGGGTTTCATAATTGTACAAATATTAACGGAGAAAATTAAATTATTAATTACATATGGTTCACACTGTATGGAAAGTGTTATGGTGAGACATATGGAAAGTTATATGTAGAGTCATAAGAAGAGTCATGTAGAGAGTCATATGGCGAGTTATATGAAGAGTTACAACGAAGATATTTGGAAATCTATACTATAGAGAGTTGCATGAAGAGTTATATTAAGAGGTAAATCAAAGATATTTGGAAAGGCACATACATGGAAAGTTATATTCAATTATCACCTATACAATCAAAACTTACTGTATCGACTCTCGGCCAACAACAGTGGCATCTGACTCTCGGTGCTCGTGTACCGCGACGAGTGCACGATTTCCTTTTTCCTCGGCAACGTACAGAATATCTCGTTAATGTCGGTCGCACTGCCACTATCACTCGCGGCCCGAGAGGCACTATAGTACTTTAGTTCGAAGGGCCGTCCGTTGGGAGAGCCCTCTATCAGATCGGGGAAGCGCTTCTCCGCGTCCTCGGCCACACGGGGCAGCTCCTTGGTCGCGTGCATGGAGCTCGCTGGCGGAGGAAAGTACCGGCGTGTCGAGGTAGAGACCGACGCGGCGATTCCTGCGGGGAAACACGGCGCCGCGGCCGCTGCAGGTGAAGTGGTGGCGTATTGATTATACCCGCTGCTGCTTTTCTTCATATTGTCCCTGTTGAATGCAATTGTAATAGTTGAGTTATATTGATTCCAGTTGGGCACCAAGCGATCCTAGACTACTCAAAAATCGTCCTAGGATCAGTCGGTGCAAGAGATTTGCATGTACAAAGTAAGCGAGTTGGTGTACATAGGGACAAGGAAGGATTCCATCTGTCGCCTCTGCTGGCAAAAAAGGGTCCTGTCTCGTTAGGCTGGCCCCGTTTCGAACCCACCCCTCCGCAACAAAACCGACCCGATACGGACTGTATAATTCGCGTTCTCGTCGGCAGCGGTTTTTTGCGCTCCGGTTATTTCAACGCACTCCGGGGTCACTAAATTAGTCGCCCTATATTGCAGTAGGAACTCTCTCTAATTGTGAGGTTTTTGCTGTCGTTTTGAATAATGCTCTCGGCGATTTATTTTGCTGCTAAATAAAACTATATACAAATTTTCATGGATGCGCTTATGCAATCGAAACTAATACAACATTTTATGCAGTATTTGTATTATTGAACATTTGATGTTGTTCATCCGTTATGGATTTGGATTTACATGGAAATGAATAAAAATTATTTATTTCGAAAAAAAATTCTAAATGAACTAAAACTCTCTAATGGCCTGTAAGTCTAATTTATATATTTATTTATTTATCTGTCTAATAATTAAAAACTAGAATGGTTTCAACGTGGTTTCAACCATGAATTATTATCTTCACGTCACCTAGCGACGACTCCTTGTTTATCATTGGCCGTAAATTTTACAATAATCATAAATTCATAGAAACTGGAATAGAGAAAGTAAATAAAGCGACTGTCCAAGTTTCATAACAATTATGGTATAAGCATGATACATGTGTATAAAGACAAAAGTATCTTGAGATCAAAGAGGAAAAGAATGTAAATGTGTTGTAGATGTAATGTTTAGCATATTTTAGCTTATCACTCGATAGCCTCTCCCAATACAAACATACATTACCTAGTTTCTTGAATAGTCCTTCTCGGTATGTGCAAATCATCCGGATCCAGCATATTCTCCGAAGAATTCCAACTCTGCCTGTCCCCGTTGAACTCCTCTTTGAAGCCGCTATCCACCTTCGAATTCGACGCCGACCCTTCCAAATTGTTATCCTCCTCCTCATCGGCATCCTGATCCCGATCGGGCACCACCCGATACTCCCCGTTCCTCCTATCGCCGATCCCAACCAACTCCTGCCCGACGCCCATCCCCGCGTTACCCAAACCCACCCCGACGCCGCCGTTCGCGTTCGAGCCCTTGTGGTTCATCTCGATCTTCTCGTAATTATCCTCGCGCCTGCACTCGCGGCTCCTCCACTTCACCAGCCGCCGCCTCCTCGCCGAGTACACGCACAACGACGCGAAGCACGACGTCACCACGAACCCGACGCCGATCAGCACGCTGGCCAGCAGCACCCTGTCGGAGAGGGCGCTCTCCGCCGGCTTCTTCGACACCGCCAGCGTCACGCTCGCCTCCGCTTTCCCCGCTTTGTTCTCCGCCGAACACACGTAGACGCCGGCGTCCTGCAAATCGGCGCTAAAGATGGTCAGTTCGCTGGAGTTGTTGGTGAAATGCACGACGTACAGCTTTTTCCCACCTGAAATTTATTGGTTGTAAGTTAATACACCGATGGCTGGGAGGTTGTAAGAAAAGGAAGAGTGAAAAGGAAGAAGGGTAGTAAAAAAGAGAATCCAAACTTGATGGATAAGAAGCTGAGGAGGGAAGCTATGATGCAAAGAGGAGGAGCAGAGAGTGAGGAATGCTTATCCATAGAGAATCCTGTACCTGGATAAGAAGCCCCGGTGAGATTGGCGATGACCTTGTTCTTCATCAGCCATCGGACGCTGGGCTCCGGAACGCCGGCGATCCGGCAGGTCATGGTGACGTTCTTGCCTTCGACGCCGTGCGCCGTGCCGTCGAAGGCGAATATCTCCGGCACGCAGGCGTAGTCGTCGAGCTCGAGCTTGTCCCAGGGCCTCATGTAGAGCCGCTTGGGGCTGTGGCAGACGGGCGGCACGCCGAACGGGACGTTCTTGCGCACCATCCACTCGCGCAGCGGCCTCAGCGAGCACGAGCAATTCCACGGGTTGCCTTCGAGCTCCAATCCGTGCAAGCTCTGCAGCGGCGTGAACGATTTCGATTGCACCTCGGCGAGTTTGTTGTTGTCGAGTTTGAGCCACTCGAGGGACTTTTCGAGGCCGGAAAACGCCCGTTCCTCGACGTAAGACAGCTTACATTCCGATATCTCGAGTCTGATCAGCTGCGGCACGTGCAGGAACGCTTCGTTGAAGATCTTCTGGATGGGGTTGCCGTTCAGTTTGAGCTCGCGCAGCTCGGTGACGGAGTCGAAGGTGTGCGATGGAACGTTATTCAACAGATTGTAGCTCAGATCGAGTTCCACGAGGTTGATGAGGTGCTTGAATGAGTAGCGTTCTAGCGTTTTGAGCCGGCACCGGACGAGGAAGATCTTCTGCAAGTTGATCAGGCCGGCCTTGCTGAACTCCTCGTGCTTGATGGCCGTGAGGTTGTTACCGGTGAGGTCGAGTATCTGCGTGCCGGCGTCCAGGCTGGGCGGGATGACGACCAGGCTGGCATTCTGGCAGAACACGCTTTCTTTGCCGCTCTTCCATTTGCACTCGCACAGGCGGGGGCAGGTCGAGTCCGCCAGTTGAGCGTAATACCACAGGATGAACAACAGGCTGGCGTGCATCCTGATCCGGAGTGTTAGTGTAATTTACGTTACCTTAGCTAATTTCGTTCTCTTCGTTTTCCTCCTCCTCCGCGTCCATTGCACTTTCGACGAGATCCGTACTCGAAGCGGTGCTCTGCAACAGAAGGAAACTGAGTAAATTTAATGCCCGATAATCGTATTACTAACGGCATTTCTGAATTAATAGATAGTTGCATGGAAGTTTGAGGGAAAACGCCATGCCAGTTACAACTGGTGTCGGATTTGTTGTTTTAGTTCGAAATGCCGTAACCTGTGTATTGTGGAGAGGAAACCGCCTTCGGCGTGTACAACATGCTGGGGCATAATACAGGTCGCAAGTTCCAACGCGCCGGTGACATGTAATGCAACGGACTTAGACGTGCTTAAACCTGCATTGTTCCTCCACGTGCATGTATAAGGCCGTTCGATGTCTGTATTTAGTCTCATTCAAAATTTACATATGTATACCTATTTGGTCAATGTAATGGGTTCATCAAAATTTCATTGATCAATCAACATAATTATATGACAGTTTTTTGAGCTTAAAATAAATTAATTAAAGAAATTGAAGAATATCATTTCATTTGCGTATTTAAATTTTGACCATATTGTATATAAAGTCATCTCGCAAGCAATAATAATTAAAAATCCGTACAATTACCAACTAATTAAGCGTATCTCTAGAAAAATCCGCCGATACAAGATTAATCTCTTTCCCTTTCCGAGCATCCTTTTTATATTTCCTTGTATTCCATTAGTTTCCCGATCGAGCGCTTAATCACCGAAGCAATTTTAATTGCGTTTCGTTATTCGGATTTCCGGGAAGGAAGCGTTTCTTTCCCGACTTTCGTCCGACGGGCGATTAACTCGTCGAATAAATCCTTTTTCCTGGAGACGTATAAACAAATCAGTCGCGCCGGGAAAATAAATAACGGGCCGGAGCACCGGCGAAATATCGCCGCAAATTTCTCTCTAATGTCCTGTAGGAAGCCGGGGACACGGTATAGGCGGATCGCGGTGTTGGCGAGATTCATGGATTCCGGATTGAATCAACCGTTTAGAATCTATTAAGAATATTAAGGTTTTGCTTATTCGGTTTTTCCCTAAGGAGGTTAATGCTCACGAAATTTTAGCTGCGTGAATCCTTAAAACGTCTTACACTAGTAGAGCAAACTAGGCCCAAATAACTTCAGAGTCAACAAGAAGTTAATCGTCGAAAATCTGTATTTGAAGCGAAACAGTGTATTTTCTCCCTAAACTGTATCATCCTCGATAAAGTATTATTTACGGAACATTGACCTGCACGAAGTCCTGTGTTTGGCTTCCCAAGAGCGAAATCGATCACTTCCAGGAGGAGTATCTACGTATAAGCGGTCAGAACTTTTAAATGCTCGAAATTTAATAGGGTTTACGCGACGTTGTTGCGTTTTTTTTTATTCCGGGACTTAAGTAGTTCAGAGCGAACGAGTAACTTTTTTGCGGCTTTGCGAAGTTCGTTTTTCGTCGGTATCGAGTTAGTTGAATTAGGAGCTCGACGAGTTCGATATAAATTGTTTTCGAATCTAATCCGGGAACTACAGATATATCGAATTTCGAGTGGAAGAGGGAAAATTCCGAGTAATTACGGATTTTGGCGCTGTTGTTATATCGCATCGTTTTTTGTATTTATAGGGACTCGGAGAGGCGTAGGCGGAGAGGGACTCGGAGAAACTTATAAGGAATAATCGGTGTCCCCAAAAGTGAAACATGAAATATGTGGCAAACTTTTTTTATTATTTATTTTGGGAAAAAAGTTTGCCTAGTGAAAAACTACAATGTGGTAATTTCTTTAGTATCAAACTCGTATTTTTGATAATGTAGAATATTATTATTACTTAAAAGTTTATAAACGTAAAAGTAAAGTATTAAGTATACGTAAAAGTATTATTAAAGTTTTGATGTTGAACAAACCAACTATTTTCTATATTTCCTATTAGAAAGCTCTAAAAAAGTCTAAAGTGTGTTTATGAAAATATCCGGAAAATCCTTAAAAAATCACCAAAGGTATATTCCATAACAAAAATGCCCTTTTAGCAATGCAAATATAAATTACTAGTAATTAAATTACGATACACCCTTGTTCGGATATAACGAAATTCGTGTAAGGGAAGCGACTCGAAATTGAAAACACGATCCGCCATCTGTAAAGGACGATACAAATAGGATTTCGGGTCTAGGAATACGAATAAATGTCACATTTCTGGCACGAACCAGATGGACAAACGCGCTCGATTTACATAAATGAATAAAGGAAGTGTGTCGCTTTTCGGACGAACGATCCTTAATTTTTTTCCCAAGGACCCCCATCCCAGGAACTCGAAGCGATTTTCAACAGCAGGATAAATAATTTTCTCTTGGTATCGTTTGGAATTTATTATTGTTATTGGGTTTTCAGCAAGTAAGAGGAATTTGTTTAGCCTCTTTAATTATATCCTTAAGGGAATGATTGATTAGCAAAATAAGAGGAATCATTTATCATTCACTTATTATCAGTTCAATAAGGTAGTTAGTTTATAAAAATAAGAAAATGTTAATGAAATTATTGTTTTATTAATAGTTGAATAAATTTAAGGAGGTTCCTCCTCTGTTAAATCTCAATTTTCCCCCCATTTTTTGTTATAAACCAATGAAACGAACGAAGTTAATTGCGAGCGATTTCCATCATCTCGAAACGCTTTCCAACTTCCCCGGTGTTTGTTTCCTCTAATTGAAAACTTCAAAATTCCGAAGTTTAGTTTTCGGTCGGCTCCGCGGCTAATCCGGTTAGAAATTTTGAATCCGGTTTTCCCCGAATGCACAAAGAGAGGATAATCCGATTGTTAGGTAGGCGCCGTCTACATTGTATTCCCATTTCGCAATTACATGCGAATTCACTTCGGTGCGGTGAAAACTCCTCGTCCCGGCGCGTTTTTCCGCCAGAGGAGAGCCCGAACGGGCGGAAACTCCCCGGTATAGCCGGTCGTGTAACCGAATAGCCCCGGCTAAATGGCCGTTTCGACGTCGAAACGTTGCCGTGTCCTATCTAATTTCACGTGGTTTTTGTTTCGAACTTCGTGTTGCCAAGTTGAATTGACTGATAGCCCTCTATGCACTCTATTTTATTTTTTTTATTTACCAAGTTTTTGGTACATATAAAAGTACTACTTTAACTTAACACCCTTTATATAAATCGCAATCAATTAGACTCGGCTGTTAAATATTATGAATTATCCGAGTCTCATTAGCGACTTCAGTTTTCCGGCATTTGCATTTTCTTAATTCCGGGTTGGTTATAGACAAACAGTTGATTATTCCGGGGGATAGGGAGCGTCGCTTTGCATGTTAGAAATGCAAATCAGGCGGAATGACTCGGCGGTGGGCCTTATCGTGCGTACAAGGTTAATGGTGGAATCTAGTCGTGAATACAAGAACAGCATCGATTCCGGCGGCTATTTGTTCCATCAAAAATTTAGTCCAATTAAAAACTCGATTGTCTATAAATAGTAATTAATTTCGCTGAGCGCGCGCATCTGGCTCGAGGGCAATTTAAGATCTCCAAACAATCGCGTTTTCGGTGCGGAAAAAACGGCGAAAGAAATTAATGAGGGGAAACGCAATTTGCGGAAAACTGCGAACGACGTTTCTATTGGATGTTATGAATTTAAATGTCGTGCACTCTTGTTAACTCTCACAGTGTGATGCAAATGCGACGATTGTGTGCGCGCTTTTTGTGCTGAAATTTAATTTGCGCGCATACAAAAAAAATCTCGTACCGTTTAGGCTTTTGCCCCAGTAATTATCTGTGCTAAATGAAGGTTAGTTTTCCATAAAAAAAATCCGTGCTCGCCCGGAAACCGTATTCAAGTAAGTACGCTATTGTACTAACAACTTAGGTATATACTCAATTAAATATTCACTGAAAAAAGTAGGTAGATATAATTTTCTATTCTGATTCGTTGCTTCCAATTGTGATTCGTTTGAATTTGAGACTATATAATATCATAGGAGTTATTATAATTAGAGTTACACACAAACAAAACTATTCATCATCTGCGGTTTTCTTTAATAGGGTTAATAGGTAAGCGGGATTCCCGTAAAGCCCGAAAAGAGTCGATATAAACCCCTCGAGTGCTCAAAAGGCAATCAACCCTTTTCCTTTCGTTATTGGCCCGACCAGGCCCATCTTGTTAAGTTAGCATGCCGCTCTCATAGCTTTAATTACCTCCACTACGACCGTCTATTGTGAAGTGGCCGCATTTTACGACACGACCGCCGTTTGGGCGATCGTCCGCGCGCTCAACTCGTCGGCGTCATTGCGAACGTGTTTTTACCGGTTTCGGGGATTCACTTAAACGCTCCCTCATCCGCATTACAATTAAATACTTACCGATACAGGTACAAATATAGAGGAATGTTGCACCAAAATAATTATCCCTTTTCGGGTGGTACTTTATCGTTAATCTCTAGACTCGAATTCACCACTGAAAAATAACAAAACCTACTTGACTAGGTACTTAAAAACTTTAACTTAATTTCTAGAAACTAAGAAATATGGAAATATGTGCTTATAATATATTTAGTGATCATGGAAAACTGATTTTAATCTATAAAACTATAAATTTGACATGTGACGAGTTTTAAAAAGTAGGATATTCATAGCGTTGTTTCAATGCAGATTATAGTAGAAAGTATGAAGTTGCTGAGAAAGAATGAATGAATTCTCAATATTTATAAATATTAATTTATTGTAGCATCATTTTTTACTAAAAATTATAAAATACTATTGTCTGTAGATACGAATTGGTCTGTATTACTAATATATCCTTTGTTATTCTCGTTTTAAATTATTTTATTAATTAATATGTCTCTATTAATGAATTGTCATATTTTATTTGATTTTCCTGAGGCAATAAACTCTACTTTTGTTTAATTTTTTCTTGTACAATTGATCAACAATAAATTATTAAATCCCATAGCTTAGAAATGCAACTAATAACATCAAAAAATGTAATATTTATTTTCATTTTATACTTTTCTCATCTTTTTTTAGCTTATCTATAAATTTTATTGAATTTTACTGGACTAAAATTAACTAAA